TATTGCATGAGACTAAAGGGATAATCTTAATTTTTCTCAATTTACTTGAAAGGTATGATTTCATATCTAATCATTTGAGCTAATTAACATATATTTTAATTCTACAAAGCAGGAAGATTGCATTTTAGTTCTTAAATGTCCTAAATATAAGACAAAAGATAGTCAGATTGCTTATCAGTTGTATAAAACACACAAAACCAGTTTCCATTTTACATGATTTGGTAAACTTTCATAATATTTTAATTTCTTGCTAATTTTTCAACGCCAGCATATAATTATTCATTCTAGAATTTAAATTAACAAAATTGACTCAGCATTGGGTTCAGTTCTGCAGGAAAATACAAGAATAAAAAAAAAATTGAAAATAGAGATGAATAAAATCTAAAATACTGAAGTTATCAATAGAATAGATCCTTTCTAACCAAATTAAACGCCGAAAACTAATTAGATAACTAATTCTTGTTGATAGTGCACCCATCATAGAAAGTTTTATACAAGCAAAAAGGAACCAAAAGTAATACATGAAAAAAAAAGTATGAAGAAATTAAAAATACGAAGAAACCCACAAAAGCTCAAGCAAAAAGAATGAAAACACGAAATCTGGAAAAAGAATGGAAGAAACACATGGAAAAAAAATACATATAAACTTAACTTCGCGTTAGACATAACATAATTAAAGATATTTACAATCTTAAGTCGCGAGTAACTTAAGCAGTTATATTTTCTAATGCAGAGACTACTACGGAATTTCATTTTCAGAAAATATTTTCCTAGTGGTAAGGTAGTAAAGTATTTATATTTTAATAAATTATTAAAAGAGTTTTGTCCACCACTAAAACAAGAGTAATTTTATAAGATCATATAGATGAATGCCTAAATTCTTAAAGTTAAATAATTCTTTTTTGAAAAAATCTGTTTTTGAAAAGTCCGCTTTAGTTGGAAAAAAATAGCCTCAAATAATTTAAATCTGTGGTCAACTGCATAATTTTAAAATTGCTAAATGCTTACATAGTCCTTGAACTATGATTTTAATAATCAAAAGTATGATTTGGATAATCAAAACTTTTGCAACTTTATATAATGGAAATAGTGTTTTGTAAATGATTAACTGTCTTTAACAAAACACTGAAAAACACTTTTCAGGAAAAAGTAAAGAGGATTAGAAACTGTTTGAAATAAAAAGAAAAAGAGTCAGTAGGTAAAAGGAAATTAAATGATATGACCGACGAACTTGTGAAAGCAAATGTTTATTTGTATTGCATACATTGATTGACGTCTCATTAATTTTTAATGAAGTTCTGGAAAGGATAGCGTACCCATTATCAATTCAAATGAATCAATTTATTTTAAAACTGTAAATGCATAAGGAAGCTTTGCATTTTCTAAAAAAAAAGAAAAAAGGAAAATTATCCTTTGTGTGTTTCATGTTTTAAATGTTGCATAGTTTACAAGCTATTAATATTAGAGAAAATATTATTTTTCACAAAAAATACCTCTTTAAAAAAAAGAAAAAAAAAGGATCGAGTTGTGGAAATTTTTTCCCATTTTACATATTTAAACTGTTCACTTCTTAAGAATAGGCATATAAAAAAACTTATTGGATAAAAATTTATCCATCAGTAACTCTTTGAAAAATTTAAAGAATTTGAAAAAATAAATTTAATACTTCCTCAGAAAATACGACACAGTCTTCCAAAACTTTTGCATAACATTTTTTACACGATAAAGTATTTTGCTCTTGAACTGAATTTTTATAAAAATATCCAAATAGTTTTTTTTACTTATTAGTTAAGTGTATATAAAATTTTAATTATAGATACAGAAAGATATGAAATTTGAAAAAAAAAATCTTATTTATGAAAATTATGCATCGTTTCATAAAATTTCTAATAGTAGTCATTACAAAATAAAACAAACCATTTTAGAGAACTTAGACAGTTCTTTTATCTGACAATTTCTTAACAAAAAGATAAGAGAAATATTTAGCTACATTTATTTTATTTAAATTGAGCATAGCAGGCACTATATTAAAATTGTCAACAGTTTGTATTTTTAGAAAGTTTAAGGATGAATAATTTTATAAAGCATGACTAGAGTAATTTTGCTTCAAATGTTTCATTTTACTTGTAAGATTTTTAAAATATAGGGTGGCATTTAATTATCTAAGGTTTCAAATAAAACTCCTTGAAATGAATGCCAAATATTTAAGTTGTGCATGACATTGTGCATGACATTGTGCATTGTGCTCATTGTGCATGACAGCATTTCAATATATTTCAAAAATATTTTTTGTAATGAAGGTCAGTTTTTATTGAAAATTAAAGAATTTCTTAAAGGTATAATTTTGTTTAGATTTATGACATTAAGTAAAATTCATACTAATATTTTTTTTTTCTCATAAGAACCAGTTTTTAAATTTCATTACTTATTTTTTTAACTTTTTATATTTAATTTTTTTAAATTGTCTTTATTCTTTTTAAAAAATTTTTATATTTTAAGTACATTATTTTTTTTTAAATATTTATGAATATACTGCTTTTTTAGGATAGTCTTAAGCATAAAAATTAATTTTCAAAAATCGTAATTAATCATATAATTGCTAATTTATCTTAACGCTAAATTAAATCCCAACAATAAGTAACAATTTGCAATGTGTGCTTGACCATATATATCATTAATCTGAGCAAGTTATCTGAAGTTAAGTTCGGATATAATTCTTCGAAAGTGGTTTACTGACCTCACTATGCATTTTGTAGTTTTTACATCGAATATGCAATTTAAAGGAAATCTTGAGTCATTAATCACAGAAAATCTGAACATTTTCTATTTGTAATAATTTTATATTTAAAACTCCATATGAAGTCTATATTTAAAACTCTATATAAAGAATATGAAAAATTTAAAATTTATGAAATATTTTTCAAAATAAGGGCGAATTTGATAATAAAAACAAACTACAAGTTTGTCATGTCACCCTTACAACTCTACAACAAATTGTAATACATAAATTTCAAATTAATTTTTTTAGATCAACCATGTGATTGTCCGTGTTTTGAACTAAAATCTTAATTTCAGAAAGACGATGAAATAAAACTAAATAAATTGTTTAATCTTGAATTTTTAAAGAAAAATTATAAATAATCTAACTTGAAGCTTAATAAAAAAACAAGCTCACAATTGGACCTTAGCTTTTAATCCAAAATACCTCCAACATTCTTGTATGATGTCTACATACAAATTTTCAAAAACTTCTGTTATAAACTTTTTTTTGTAAGAGTAAATAATTTATCAAAATCAACTTTTAGAAAATTCATTAAAAGTGCTCAAAACTTCTGCAATGCAAGAAATGCATTCTGAAAACAAAAAAATTAATTCGTGAGGATTGAGACTTAAAAACATAATTTATTCAATTAAAAATAGGTTAAAATACCAAAGTCGTAAAGAAAAACAATTTAGTTTCTCTTTGGAAAATTTACTTCCATTTTTGGTTTCGTAGGTCATCATCCAAAAAAAAAAACTACTATAACTTCACTTCCAGAAATCTGAGATCAAATATTTAAAGGATTTTGGGAAACTATAGAACTAAAATTCAGTAAAGTTAAATTTTCTCCTTGAGTGTTCGTATAAAAATGAATAGATTTGGACTTAAGAATTTCATTGATATTATCGCTTTTTTTTCTTTCCAGATTTCATTCCTGAAAACGAACATAATATTTTTTTCCGTTTTACATCAAATTATGCACCGCATTTCAATACGCAAGCATTAGTGGATTTTAAAAGGGAAAAATTTTGCGTTGCACTTAAAAATCGTTTAAAAAAATTACTTAAATATTTCTTTGTAATTTTAAAATTTTTATTTATATGAAGTGCTTTTTATGAGTGTCCCTAAAATGTGGAGACTTCCTTTCTTTCTATTTTATTTAAAAGATCAAACAAACAAGATTTTCGAACTTTCAATATTAAGAATATAAATGTTTAATTTATATATACATATATATACTCCCTGGAAAATTGCAGATATGTTGCGACTTATTCAACAAATGAGCATTAACATTTTCTTTTAAAAATTGATTTACAATGAAACTAGAACTTTAATGGAAATATACTAATACAAGATAAGTAAACATTCATACAGTATCCCTTTACACCAATTTTGCGAACTCCTTATGTGACCTTATGATTAAGAGATTCTTCAAAGATTCAAATAATCATTCATATTCAGAAACTGAAAACTTAACATTTTATAATTCAACTATAATAAAAATTTTAGGGTATCCCCCTTAGCTATTTATTACAATAAGTCATTAATCTTATTTGTTCATTATAAGTAAATGGAATATAAAAATAAACAAGTTTTTAATTTGTAGTCTATGAGCACAGATTATTTACACCGAGTTGTTATCTAGGGAAAATTGATTTATTTGGATTTATATTTTATTTCTTCTGAGATGTTGAAGAAAAAAAAAAACTGAAATATGCCTTGGAAAAAACTAACTGCTAAACGATTCAACATAGGAAGTTTACTAATCGTGTTAGCATTTTTTTTAAAAAAAAGGATTATATTATTTGAAGTAACAAAAGGAAAAGGAATCTTGATTATTTTGGCAATTCAAACGTGTATTAGCATGAATTACAAGAAGAGCACAGGGAAGTTTAATGGTTCTCCAGCTTCGAAAAACAAGGAGAATAATTTGGATTTGACTTGCAAGTATAATTTAACTTGTAAATTTACATTTACCAATCGTTAAATATCACGAGCTCCAGAAATAATAAATTTTAAAATTAAACTATTTATTGCAAACGTCAAGCTAATGAAGTATTTTACAAATCTTCAAAACTAATTCTTATTTTTTTTTCTTTTCTTTTTAAAAGTAATCTTTTTCATTCGAAATATTGAAATTTAAAAAAATGCTAAAAGAGGACTATCTAGTTAAAAGATAGATATAAATATTAAAAAATTTAAATTATCTTTAAAGTAATTAAAAAAAAAGCACACACACCTTAGAAGACATGTTTTCGGCAGCCAAATTCCTCATCTTGCTTTACCCCACTATCTAAACTCTTAATTAAATCCCCAGTTAAAATACGAGAGCATGGAAATATAGTATAGGTAATTATTTTGAGAAACACAGGGCCGGCGTTTGATGTTTATAACACAAAGCAAGGTTGCTACATCTTAAACAACATCCTATATTCGCCAAATTGAGCGCCAAGAACCAGAATATAAACAACAAACAATCTATGTTGACATTGAAAAGCAAGTCCTTTTAGAGGTTGATAAACAGCTTTTCTTATCGCTTCTTCTTGCTAAGTCATTGATCTCGATCAGAATTTTTCGCCATAGAAATCGAAGATTTAGAAAAGGATAACTAAGAAAAGAATGAAAATTGAAAGTGGTTTGGGAAGTGAAATTTGTAAGACAAATCATAAGTGACCATGATTCGTTTATGTGGTAAGAGATCATTAATTTACAGCTGATTTTTTTGTTGCGAAATAATAGGACAGAGAAAATTTTTTAACGATCTCTAATTTGAAAGTTTAGAACTTTCCTCACTTAAAAGCATTATGAATACAAAGTTAAAATTTTTTTGAATACTTTTAACCATTAAACAAAATGAACTCATCATAAGCATTCGCATTACTTGAAATATTTCCATGACAAATGTGAAATATGTGATCGTTAAGACGATGTTAAAAACGGCTAATAACTTAAAGATTCTTAAATTTCTAGTCTTCCTTAAAACGTATGACAAAAAAATAAAAATATTTGTATAATTTTAATATAAATGTTAGTAACTTAATACAAAAAATGAGAGGGAATTTTAACAGTTATGCATAATTATGTCCACCAATACTAAAAATTCTTTATCTTCTTAATACCTTGCAATCTGATTGACGACACGAGTAATTGACATGACTAGCGAATAACGAACATGAATAACGAATAGGAATAACAAACACGAAGAACGAATTCCCCAATCCACCTCCTCAATAAAATTACATTTTGTAGAATGAATAATAACTTTTTTTTTTTGAAAATTATTTTGCATTGCATTTTTTTTTGTTTATAATACAAAAACTGAATAGTTTGGGGGAAATATAACAGCAAGCCGCTTTTCAAAACAGTTCAGAATTATAATTTTCAGGAACAAATGCACATAAATGTTTTTGTGCATTGCACTGATTTTGAGCAGCGTACTGAAATCTAATTAAAAGTTCGAAAACTAGTTATGTTCTTTACAGAACATAAAATTTTAAAAATATCAAAGTGAGATACGAATATTCGTATTAAAACAAAATTATAGATATTAGCTTAAAAGCCTAGATAAAAGTTCCAAAAATATTCATTCACTAGATTTTTCTTGTTGAAAACAACGTATATAAAGACAATTTTTCTTTTAAATTTTCTGACTAATAAATTATTTTATAAAAAAAGAGCTTTTGTATCTCAATTAGTTCATCCTACCACACCCTCATATTAATATTTCATTAAAATTAGTAAGAGTGTTCAAGAATTTCTTAATCAGCTAATTTTAAAGTAGGGTTTTAATAATTTTGAAACGAGAACACATTGAAAATGCTGTTTAATATTTTCCTACAAAAGTAATTTCGCATATGATTCTTCCATTCACCATTTAAAAATTCTGTGTTTGCTGTATTGTTGACTGGAATCTATAATCAGAAGAAATCAAATAATTAGTTAAAGAGTAACACAGATGTAAATTTAGTTATATAGGGTTAAATGCGTTTTATTATAAAAAAATTAAAGTAATTTCGTAAGTAATTCTTCAAATCAACATTTAAAAATTCTATGGTTGCTATATTGTTGATTGGAATCGATCGTTGAAATGAATCGAATAATTAGTTTCAAACTAACACTGATCTGAGTTTAGTTATCGAAAGAGAATTTTTTTCTATAAAATAAGAAATTTTTCAACTACAACATTTCTTTTAACGGGAAAAAGTATACTGGACAAATATTTTTTCTTCATTTATAGAGAAAAATGCTCGAAGTTTGGTTAAATTAAAATTGTATCAAATTTCCAGCATGATTTTTTTGAAACTAGTCGACAAGACGTAGGAAAAAATACAGATTTTACTTTGCTCACATGACATAAGGTGAAATAAAAGTAGTTTTTTTACCCAAGGATAAAGCGGAATTCCTTTTCAAGGTCGCTAGAAATTCTTAGATAAAATGCTCCCACTTTATGAGTACTTTGTTTGCTATTTACAATTTCAATTCAGCCATTTGTATCGATTAATCTTTCTGGGGAGAGAAAAAACCAGTTTTTATCGTATTCCATTGCCGTTCTCGACAATTATGAAAAGTTTCAGAGTACTTTCTGCGAGAAAAAAGGTTGAAAAAAAATTTCAAAAATGAAGGCTACCTTAAAATCTTCTCTCTCACCTTACATAACTGTAAATAAAAGTTTTTATGTAACAAGGAATAAGTTTTTTCTATCCACCTTAATTGCGTAGTTTTTCTATCAAATATTATCAAATATACTTCATTTCTAAGTACCATTGCTTCGTCAAAAATAAAACTTCATAATTAAGCTGAAGAATGTGACGCATTGAATTACCCGTATGTCAATAATTGTCTTAGCCTTTATGGATCGATTTGCTCTTACAGTTCAAGTTTTATAGATCACAATTTAAGTGACCTTCACTTTTGAAGCAAAGAAATAGTTTTAAACTATATATGTCCCCTTACCATAAAGAATTATCAGTGCTTTAAAAAGAACAAACTAAAAATTAAAATTAATTTTTTAAAAAAATATCAAATTTCGCGATATGTTNTTAAACAATTTTTTAGAAAAAATGGCACGTTGGTGTATAAAGGTTCGCCACCCCTAGCCTAGATAATGGATCGTTTTGGTTAAGTTCTTAAATATTAAAAAATTACACTACAAGCGCTTTTAATTTTCTTTCTTTTTTTTTTTTAAACGCTTTTCTCCACATTTAAGTTTTGCGCCATTTTCAGAATAAACAAAGAGGGCTCTGGTCAAAGATAAGCTAAACTTGTCCTAACAGTTATGAGTAACTGTTGAAAGCTCACAACGGTTATGAAAATAGCATATTATTCGTTGTAGTTCATTTACGTCACACTAGAGCTGCACAATGGACTATTGACGACGGTCGCATATTATTTGCAAAAAATCATTATTCCATGCCACTCTATACAGAGCCTTCAAAAACAGTCTTAATATCCTAAGGTCACAGCACCCAATATATTAAACATTTGGTATAATTTTCTCTTTGCACGCCTTCACAAAGCGATAATCTGTGTGAGCAAAATTTTACCCGCGAAGATCTGAATTTTTAATTATAATAAAAAATAATAAGGATTCGAAATATTAGCAACATTTTCGGAAAAATTAGCAACATTTTGGACAGTTTATTTTATTTCAGTCTTAAGGATTTTGTTTATGACTAAAATGGGAATAATATTTTATAAAATAACGTAACGCACGAAACGTAAAAAGTGCTAAAAATTAAAATTTATAATTTTTATGTAATTGAAATTTTAAAATTTTTTTTAACTTAGATGGAATTTTTTCATCACATTTGGGTGTTTGCTTTCTTTTAAATAAAGCATTTCTAAGAAAAATTCGCTTATTCCGCCATTATTTAAGACTTCGGTAATTAAGACTGTATTCACTTTTATAGTATAGAAAATATAGTTTGTTCTGTTACGGGTAAAATATCTAACGTCGGCATTCTATAGAATGTCAGGGCATTGTATAAAATGCCAGACCTTTTCAGGCAAAGTATGAAACATACGAGAGTTATTACATACTTTTCCTAAGTATTCTATAGAATAAAAAGTGCTATTTAGATGAAGTATGAAAAAGATTCTAATAAGGGTATAAGTAATGTGCATTTAACAAAAATTCAAATGTTATTCTAGAAAAATATTGAGAGTACCGTTAAAAAAAATTATTCGAAATATGTGAAGAAAAATAAAAGTTGTATAAAACAAAAATTTATCCATTTTTTAAGGGAAACAAAAATTTTCTTATAATAAGAAATTACAATTGTGACAGCATAATAGGCCTTAATGATATTTTGAATTACATTTCATTCAAAACGAATCAAACTTAGCCGGTTTCTCAGTTGATATTCTATAAAATTCTCAGGAAGTTTGTAAAATATAAATAGTAGTTTCATATACATTACTGGTCAATTTTAGGCATTACATACAATGCAACAATATATTATATACAACATTGAATAGAAAGCGTGATTTCAAACTTTTCCGGTAACATCTAAACACTTTCACCTTCTTAGGTATAGTTCGCATGCAATGTCTGAAAAACATGTTTTCTCCCCTTGAATAATAATATCATTTGAAACACAAAATATAGTTAAAGAAATAGCATTATTGCATGTGCCTTTTTTCTTTGGTAAAGTTAGTGGAGAGTATAATTAAATCTAATCCAGAACGGTTAACGATTGTACAAATTCTTTTCATCATTAGAGACAAAGCTGATGCATGAAGAAATACATTTCCTCACTTGAATGAATCGCCTTCTTTATTTCATGCTCTTAATTGTAGTAATCTGATTTAGTAGTAGGCGAGGGATAAAAAGGATGGCACTTAATAACTTTTAATCAAATAATCGAATACTAATACAAAACCTTTATTATTTGAAAGATTATGTTATGCATTACTTACGAAACTGAACACATAGAAAAATGGACTTTCTTAGACTGAATATACACTTTTTTCTAAAATATGCTTCAAATACTGTAGACAAAAGAGGTTCCCCTTAATTTTATTTTTATTGAGATTTCCTAGAACTAATTATGCAAATCTGATTATGAAACTTATTCATCCATTTGTGAAACTTTCTTTTTCAGAGGTAATTTTAACGTTTGTTTATTTTAATTGTTTAGTTAAATAAATTGTAAAATACTGATTTTTACATTCCTCAGAACCTAGAAAGATACTAGAAAGACTAAAGCTTAGTATATACCTATATTGCCCAAAAGCAGTCAAAATGAATGCATTGTGAAAAAATAACTAATGTGTAAAAAAATGTTTAAAAAAAATCCGTATCGGTTCTAAGGACCCACGAAGCAACAATCCCAATTATTGTCTTACAACACAGGTCCACGAAGGAACATTAAGGAAGCTTAAACTTTCGAC